CTCACCTCTGCCTTAGAAGGTAAGTGCTTCTGGCTTTGGCCTTCTTACAAGGTGGGACCAGAGAAGGAATGTAACCTGCCTAAGGACACAGAGCAATTGTGTGTCCTGTTAACAAACTTGAAAACTCTTTCTAATTGGGTGCACAAACATTGTATGTCATGGTTGCCTTCCTCTTCCCTCATTCTTTAAATGTTTGAGAGCCTACCATATGCCATCTGGGCATACTACAGTGGACAAAATAGAACAAGTCACTTATCTCCCCGAAGCAACATTCTAGTGGTTAGAGGCAGTGATATGCAAAAAGCAGGAGATGCCAGATGGTACTAGTCACGAGGACAAAAGTAAATCATGTCAAGAAAGACATGACGTGACCAGAGATTTTGCTGTTTTGTGCAGTGTGGTTGGGGAAGGACTCTGATATTCAAGCAGAAAGCTTTAGGCAGTTAGAGAGAAGCCATGTGGACATCTGGCAGGGGGTGTGGGGAGAAGGGAATTCCTGTTAGTCGGCACAGCATGTGCAAAGGTCCTGAGGTAGGAGCATGTTTGGTGTGTTTGAAGGACAGTGGGGAGGTTAGAGCAGAGTGACTGAGGGAAAGAGAAGAGGACGGTGAGGCCAGAGAAGGAGCAAGGCCCAGGTGCATAGGGTTTTGTGGGTACCATAGAAAATTCAGATTTCCCTGTGAGACAAGAGAGCCACTGGAAGGTTCTGAGTAGAGGAGATATAATATAATGTACATCTAAAAGGCTCAATCTCCTTCCTTTTCTTTTTTTTTTTTTTTGAGACAGAGTCTTGCTCTGTTGCCCAGGCTGGGGTGCAGTGGTACCATCTTGGCTCACTGCAACCTACACTTCCCAGGTTCAAGGGATTCTCCTGCCTCAGCCTCCCAAGTAGCTGGGATTACAGGCATGTGCTACCATGCCCGGCTAATTTTCTTTGTATTATTAGTAGAGAAAGGGTTTCCCCATGTTGGCCAGGCTTGTCTCAAACTCCTGACCTCAGGTGATCTGCCCGCCTCAGCCTCCCAAAATGCTGGGATTACAGACTTGAGCCACCACACCCAGCCTCAATCTCCCTCTTTACTGAGACGATAGTGTAGAGTAGGGATGGTGGAAGGGAGACCAGCTTGACAGTTATGGAAACCATCCAGCTGAGATAGAATGGTGGCCTCAACCAGGGCAGTAGCAATAGAGGAGGTGAGGAGGAGCCAGGTTCTGGATATGTTTTGAAGGGAGAGCCACCTCTGATATGATAGTGAATAGGACATGGAGTGTGAGGAGGAGAGGAGTTGAGAATGTCTCCAAGGAATTGAGATTGAGTTACTGTTTACTGAGATAGGAAACAAGGTGGGAGGAAGAAGTATGTGTGGGGGAGGAGGGAGAGAGAGAGAGATGGAGAGCGATAATGATAACAGATCATGAGAATATCCAAGAGTTAAGAGATTTGGACACGTTATGTTTGGGATGCCTGCCATGTAGCCATGTGGAGATGCTAAGTAGGCAGTTAGAAAGAGATGAAGAACCTGGGAAGCATCTGTGTGCAGATGGGACAGAAAGCCAGGATGCTGGACGGGACCGACCCCCAGGGAGAAATGGACTTGGATGAGGTGTAAGGTTTTAATAGCTGCCTTCCATTACACTAGCATGAATGAACCAACATTTGTTTAACAGTCCTTTATTGGCTGGGCATGGTGGCTCATGCCTGTAATTCCAGCACTTTGGGAGGCCAAGACAGGCAGACTGCTTGAGCTCAGGATTTCAAGACCAGCCTTGGCAACATGGTGAAACCATCTCTACAAAAGAAAAAAAAAATCCAAAAATTAGCCAGCTGTGATGGCACATGCCTGTGGTCCTAGATAGGAGGCTGAGGTGGGAGAACTGCTTGAGCTCAGGAGGTTGAGGTTGCAGTGAGCCAAGACTGCACCACTGCACACCAGCCCGGGCACCAGAGCAAGACCCTGTCTCAAAAAACCAAAACAGAAACAAACAACAAAACCCCACCAATATATATTCATGGGTATATCTAATGATTTTCAATCATAAATGTCACTGCTCTAAACAACCTTTTGTTGACACTGACGTAGAATATGTCCATAAGATGTCAGTCTAGTTGGTGGAAATGAGGAGGCAGCATTTCAACTCAGGTCCTTCTCACTCAAACACGACTCCCCCCCACACATTTTCCCACTGCCCTGGGGGGCAATGAGTTTTCTTTCTCACAGCAAATACATAAGTCAACATTCTGGATTGTTCAGCGTTGTGGGATTATATTAGTCCACTTTAAGAATATTTGTTAAGAATTGATATATCTTCCAAGTATCATGCTGGTACTGGATGTGATAATGTACAAGATGATCAAAACTCATGACCTCATGCAGCCGGCAGCTTAAGGGATCACAATAAATTAGCATAAGACATCCAATGCCCAACTCATAGAGGGTATCATTCAACACTTCATTCATTGCCTTTTTTTTGTTTGTTTTTTTTGAGACAGTCTCACACTATCACCAGGCTGGAGTGCAGTGGTGCGATCCCAGCTCACTGCAACTTCCGTTTTCTGGCTTCAAGCAATTCTCCTGCCTCAGCCTCCTGTGTAGCTGGGACTACAGGCACACACCACCACACCCAGCTATTTTTTTTTTTTTTTTTTTTTTTAGCAGAGATGGGGTTTCACCATGTTGGCCAGCATGGTCTCAATCTCTTGGCCTCAGGATCTGCCTGCCTCAACCTCCCAAATTGCTGGGATTACAAGCATGAGCCACCGCGCCTGGCCACACATTGCCTTTTTACAATGGGATCCTAATTTCCAGAGGGCTGGTCCAGAAGGGCTTGGCTTCCCAAAGTGCTGGGATTACAGGCATGAGCCACCAAGCCCAGCCAATAAAGAACCGTTAAACAGATGTTAGTTCATTCATGCAAGTGTAATGGAAGCCTCTTTTCCACAGCCTCTTTCCAGGGTCTCTATCCATTTGGATACCAGCAGGATCAGAGGCCAGAGGGGTCTTTTATTAAACAAAGGAAAGAAAAAGCATGGCTTATGTTCCTTCCCAAGTGGCTCTATTGTCAGGAGAGGGGAGCATCTTAGCTCAATGTATAGAAGTTACTCAAGAATTTCTACGAGACTAAAACTTATTGAAAAATCATGGAGGACTCGAGTTTGTAGAAACATTCCATCTGTGTTCCAAGGATGTGCACTTCAGGGCATGGTGGGTTGCAGCTATCTCCCTGTGCCATAAAAGACTCTAAGGATGCTGAGATGTTTCATTTGAAGAAGGACCAGTCGTCTGGAAAAGACTGACATTGAAGCTTGGCTCTTCCAGGTTGGGTGGTGGTTTCTGATGAGCCATACTTCTTCTTCTTCTTGTTTTGTTGTTTTTCGTTTTTTTTTCTGAGATGAGTCTCCCTCTGTTGCCAGGCTGGAGTGCAGTGGCGCAATCTTGGCTCACTGCAACCTCCACCTCCCGGGTTCAAGGGGTTCTCCTGCCTCAGCCTCCTGAGTGGCTGGGACTACAGTGATATGCCACCACACCCAGCTAATTTTTGTATGCTTTTAGTAGACACAGGGTTTCACCATGTTGGCCAGGCTGGTTTCAATCTCTTGGCCTCGTGATCCGCCCACCTCAGCCTCCCAAAGTGCTGGGATTATGGGCGTGAGCCACCGTGCCTGGCCTGAGCCATGCGTCTTTTGAGGCTCAGCTTCCCCCTCTATCAAACAGAGGGACTGTGATTACGTATCTGCTCTTACTCCCACCTTGTGAGGCGCTAATGACGCAACGTGCCTGGTGGGTAACAAGAAACGGGAACTGTGGCACATACTCTGCAAAGGGAGCTTCTCTGAGTTTCCAAGTTTTGATTGAAATGGATTCCCACATCCTCACTCTTCATGCTAATGTGGGATGTTTTCACTGCTTAAGTCGAAATTAAGAGAATTCACATTTTAGGAAAAAAATGATGCATAGCTCAAACACAGAAAGACCTATTGTCAATAAATATATAAATACTATACAGGTGGGTCAATCTTAAATCCCTGTCCATTGGGAAGTGGGTGAGCCTGAGTGACCATGAGATCAACTTTCATCCTGGGCTCTGCACTCAGTGTCCTGATTCCACAGAGAGTTCCCGGCTGGCCCATGCTCCATGTCACGTTCTAACACAGCATTTGGTATCTCAGTGTTGACTTTTTCCTCGATCCATCTGTGAAGACATCTCAGTCACTCCACAACTATTCAAGATTCACCCTTGAAATGACAAGATTCCCTTGATGGCTTTCAGAGAGTCTGTTTATTGCTATTTCTAACTTCTATTGCATAGATCTGTGCAGTGGTGAAATTTAGGGCACTATCTCTCCTCTGCTATAATCTGGAGTAGCGTTACAAAATCTGAGTTGTAGCTAACTAGTGCTGTACTCATAGAGAGTGGGCCATGAAATCTCCCATCTCTCTTTGCATTGCTGGTTTGTATTATTGGGTGCATTAGATGACTGCAGCTTTTGGCAAGAGGAATCTAGATTACAGATTCCTACAGGTGCTGACACCTATCTTGCAGCAGCTAGAAATAACCAAACCTGGTTTTCACTGTGTTAGTATCTCACACACACTTCCATTCCAAATACTTCCTCTTTAACTCCTGGCCTCAGGTGATCCTCCCGCCTTGGCATCCCAAGGCAGTGGAATTACAAGTGTGAGCCACGGTGCTTGGCTGGAATGTAATTTTTTTTCTTTCACTTTTTGTTTTGTTTTGAGACAGAGTTTCACTGTGTCACCCAGGCTGGAGTGCAGTGGCACAATCTTGGCTCACTGCAACTTCTATCTCCCGGGTTCAAGTGATTCTCATGCCTCAGCCTCCCAAGTAGCTAGGGTTACAGGCATGTGCCACCATGCCTGGCTAATTTTTGTATTTTTAGTAGAGATGGGATTTTGCCATGTTGGCCAGGTTGGTCTAGAACCCCTGATCTCAGGTGATCTGCCTCCCTCGGAGTCTCAAAGTGCTGAGATTACAGGCGTTAGCCACCACAAAATATAATTTTTAGCAATAGCCTTTGGTAATCCAATTTAGTTGTGCTAATGAATTTCTCCCAGATCATTATATTTTTTCCGGATAGAGTTTACTAAAGAAGGTCTTCTTTATGGCAACTTTCAGCTCCTTGTTCCTGAGGCTGAAGATGATGGGGCTAAGGAAGGGCGTGAGGACCGTGTAGGTGATGCCCATCAAGGTGTCTCCTTCTGGAGACTGAGGACCTTTGGGCTTCAGGTAAATGACAGAGGCAAAGCCATAGTGCACGACCACCACCGTGAGGTGAGAGGCACAGGTGGAGAAGGCCTTGTTCCGACCTTCAACAGAAGGGATCTTCAAGATGGTGGCCACGATGAAGGCATAGGAGAGGAGAATGAGGAGCAAACAGCCCAGCAGGGCCATGATACACACCAAGCCGACGCCCAGGGCCACCATCAGCACATCATCACCACAGGCCAACTTCAGCAGAGGTGGCACGTGGCAAGCAAAATGGTGGATCTCATTGGGTCCACAGAAGGAGAGGTGGAAAATGGCCGTGGTCACCACCATCCCCATGACAGAGCCACCAGCCCATGAGCAGCCCAGCAGGCAGGCGCAGCCCCGCGGGCTCATGAGCACATTGTAGCGCAAAGGGTGGCAGATGGCCACGTAGCGGTCGTAGCCCATGACGGTGAGCAGGAAGGAGTGGGTGAAGCCGAAGGTGAAGGAGAAGAACATTTGGCTGGCGCAGGCCAGGAAGGTGATGGAGCACCGGGTGGATAGCAGGTCAGCCAGCATGCGTGGGATTATGGCCACGGTGTAGAGGATCTCGGAGACAGAGAGGGCACACAGGAGGAGGTACATGGGCGTGTGGAAGCCACGCTCACTCCACACAGTGGCCATGATGAGCAGGTTGCCCAGCAGCGTGAACAGGTACATGAGCAGGAGCAGCAGGAAAAGCATCAGCTGCAGGTGGGGGAAAGCGGAGAAACCGATGAGGATGAACTGGGTCACTGTGGAGTGATTGGCTCCCAGCATGGAGTCTGTGCCTGGGGTGAGATGTGACAGGGAGACGTCAGTTACTGGATGAAGAAAGGTTCTCGGCCTTCACCATACCTGGATTCGCCCAAGGGGCTACTCTTGGTAAACGGTAAAGCTGGCTTTGGTTCCATTCCCACTCTGTGCCTCCTATAATTTAATACTCTCCTCAACCTAGTGAGAATCATACTATTTTTTCGACCCCCTTTTGAAGTACCTTGAGGATGCTCATTTAGAATGTTGAAGTGCAGAGCTTGCAGGCGAAGCTATTGAGACGGTAGATCTGAGATTTGAACCCATAGGTGGGCTGGCTCTAAAAACTATGATAGACTGGACAAAGAGGATGCGGCACATATACATCATGGAATACTATGCAGCCATAAAAAAACGATGAGTTTGTGTCCTCTGTAGGGACATGGATGAATCTGGAAACCATCATTCTCAGCTAACTGACACAAGAACAGAAAATCAAATACCACATGTTCTCACTGATAGGCAGGTATTGAACAATGAGAACACATGGATACAGGGAGCGGAGCATCATACACTGGAGTCTGTTGGGGAGTGGGACTAGGGGAGGGACAGCAGGGGGTGGGGAGGTTGGGGAGGGATAACATAGGGAGAAATGCCAGATATAGGTGATGGGGGGATGGAGGCAGCAAACCACCTTCCCATGTATGTACCTATGCAACAATCCTGCATCATCTGCATATGTACCCCAGAACCTAAAGTACAATTTAAAAAAATACCCTCCACTATTCCTCTACATTGTCCCCCAAATGAAAACGCTCCAGGCTGGCGTGGTGGTTCACACCTTTAATCCTAGAACTTTGGAGGCTGAGGCGGGAGGATGGCTTGCACTTTGGAGGCTGAGGCAGGAGGGTGGCTTGAGCCCAGGAATTCGAGGCTGCAGCAAGCTATGATGGCACCACTGCCCTCCAGCCTGGATGACAGAGCCAGACCCTGTCTCTCAAAAAAGAAGAAAAAAATATTCCTTTACTGGAACTTCCATTCATTCCTTCTCTGTCCTCTTACTCCCTTATGATAAATCATGTTCTTCCCTCTTCCAGATATCGTAAGATGTTTCCACCCATGGCTACAACACCTTGGAGCAGAGCACGCCTCTAAATTTCAACCAAGGACTTCTCTGGGGTTATCCATGTAGGAAAGCAGAGGCAGGAGACGTTGTGGCACTAAGAAAAGAGCCAGAAATCATGCTCTGATTGTTTTGCAGTTCCCACGAAGTACGCCTCTATGTTCTGAGGCAAAGAAATGTAGCCATCAGACAGAAAGAGGCATGTGGGAATCAGCAGATCTCAGTTCAAATCCCTCCTCTGACTGTTGTATAATTATTTTATTTTAATTATTTAGAGACAGAGTTTCACTCTTGCCCAGGCTGGAGTGCAATGGGGTGATCTTGGCTCACCACAACCTCCGCCTCCTGGGTTCAAGTGACTCTCCTGCCTCAGCCTCCCAAGTAGCTGGGATTACAGGCATGGGCCACCATGCCCGGCTAATTTTGTATTTTTAGTAGATACGGGGTTTCTCCATGTTGGTCTGGTCAGTCTGGAACACCTGACCTCAGGTGATCTACCCGCCCTGGCGTCCCAAAGTGCTGGGATTACAGGCATGAGCCACCACGCCTGACCTATTTATTTATTTTTGTAGAGACAGAGTCTCACTCTGTTGCCCAGGCTACAGTCCAACGGTGCAATCATAGCTCACTGCAACCTCCAACTCCTGGATTCAAGCAATCCTACTGCCCCAGCCTCCCAAGTAGCTATGGCTACAGGCACACACCACCTCACCCAGCAGATAATTTATTTTTTATTATAGAGACGGCATCTTGCTATGTTGCCCAGGCTGGCCTGGAACTCCTCACCTCAAAGTCATCCTCCTGCCTGAGCGTCCCAAAGTGCTGGGATTACAGAAGTGAGCTACTGCACCTGGCCAATATTTTGTAAACTTGGGCAGATTTATCTCTCCGTACCACCATTTCCCCCTCCCTGTCTCAAAGGGCTGCTGTGGGAAGTCAATGAGCTTTTCTTAGGTGACTTAGCCTGCAATAGATGCTACATATAATTAATACAGTAAATGACTATACACGGTCTTTGCTCAGTAAGTAACTTTAATTTCATGAGATTTCCATGTGTCTTTATGAACCACTTAAATATATTTAATTTTTATTTTTTCAAGAGACAGGTCTGGCTCTGTCACTCAGGCTGGAGGGCAGTGGCACAATTATCATAGTTCACTGCAGCCTTCAACTCCTGGGCTCAAGCGATCCTCTCTCCTCAGCCCACCAAATAGCTAGAACTACAGGCATACATCAGCATGCTAGGCTAATCTCTTTCTTAAAAATTAAGGCAATGGCCGGGTGCAGTGGCTCACACCTGTAATCCCAGCACTTTGGGAGGCCAAGCAGGGTGGATCATGAGGTCAGGAGTTAGAGACCAGCCTAGCCAACAGACCAGCATGGCCAATATGGTGAAATCCCATCTCTACTAAAAATACAAAAATTAGCCAGGCATGGTGGCACACACCTGTAGTCCCAGCTACTCGGGAGGTTGAGGCAGGAGACCCGCTTGAACCCGGGAAGTGGAGGTTGCAGTGAGCTGAGATTGCACCACTGCACTCTAGCGTGGGTGACAGAGTGAGACTCTGACTCAAAAAAAAAAAAAAAAAAAAAAAAA